GCACATACATACACATAAATATATACATACAGTTTTTATGGGATCATACTGTTGTGTAACCTGCTTTAGTTCACCTAAGAATGGACCATAAACATCACCTTTCTCCATCAACAGATATATTTCCATATGAAGGGTTAAATTCACCAAGCCAATTAATCTTTTTACCAAAGCCATGAATTCAATTAGAAAGAGGCAACATTGAGCTAAACTTCACTAAAAATAATGGGATGGTCAGGACTTAACCAAAGCTTCTCACAATTGAGTTGACCTTGGTTACAGATGACCTCCAAGTTCATCTAAGTTATCTAAGAGATGAATACCAGATACATTTGGTTCATACATTATAATTTTTACATGGTAAGTTTTAAACACTTTTTTGCTAAGTTTTAATATTCCACTATTAGTTTCTTTAGAAAGGAAAGCAAGAAGCATGACTGATTCCAGCGGTCCAGCTGTAGGAGCATGTTTTATAGACATTCCATTTACAGAGGCACAAACCAATCATCATGAAAATCTAAATTTGCACAGCATTTCTTTATATAAGAAGAAAAAAAGGACTTCTTCCCCCCCAAAAGAAAGGAAGCCTGTTGCCATGTGGAACAATTTAGTTTGGAGGCTAAACAAATATTCTCCATCTGGGCTAGAGAGAAAGTTGTGCCCCTCAATGTGGGCCCTACAAAGAGGTAGCAAGCACCTGCCTGGGGGGTGTTGCCCACCCCCTAGCATGTCTAGGACAAAACCACCACATTCAGCCTCCTACAAACAGAAGGAATGGACATGAGGAATGTGACAAGGGGATATGGAAGAATAGGTCCCAGACATGGCAGAGAAGGTCATCCCAAGAGGTATTTCATCATGCACTTGTCTCCCTGATCCTGTGAGCCCAATGTCATCCTTTGTCTACATGTGGCTTAGAGGGTCTGTTCTGAAACTCCAGTGATGCCCAACATCATTCAAAAGACTTAGGTCAGCCCAGAAGAAGTCAATGGAAAGTGTGTTTCAAGCTACATAAAGATCTTTGGGAGCGAGGGAGACCTATTTTAAGATTATTGCCTAGCTTCAGGTAGAAAAGTACTTAAGACAAATGTANCATGGCTTTACCAGTAGGATCCTGAAGACAAAGCACAATCAAAGCCATGGCCACCAAGCGGTGGACGTGGTCCAGTCAAAGCAAAAGCAGATGGTCAAGAGCAAAAGTCATGGCAACAGTTTTTTGGAACACTCAAGATATTTTGCTTGTTGACCTTCTAGAAGGCCAAAGAACAAAAACATATACTTATTATGAAAGTATTTTGAGAAAGTTAGCCAAAGCTTTAGCAGAAAAACACCTGAGAAAGCTTCACCAGAGTGTCCTCCTCCATCATGACAATGTTCCTGCTCATTCCTCTTATCAAACAAGGGCAATTTCGCAAGAGTTTCAGTGGGAAATCACTAGGCATCCACCTTACAGTCTGATTTGGCTCTTTCTGACTTCTTTCTGTTTTCTAATCTGAAAAATCTTTAAAGGGCACCAATTTTGCTTCAGTTAATAATGTAAAAAAGACTCCATTGACATGGTTAAATTCCTAGAACCCCCCAGTTCTTTAGGGATGGACTAAATGACTGGTATGATCACTTACAAAAATGTCTTGAACTTGATAGAGCTTATGTAGAGAAATAAAGTTTATGTTTTTTATTTTTATCTTTTAATTCCATTTTTCTATAAACTTTTTGAAGTCCCCTCATATGTATGTATATAGGTATATATGTATATGAAGTATATACATCAATGTATGTATGTAAAGTTCTCTGCATACATATGTATGTGTGTGTGT